AGAACACCAATCAACATTTTGATTGTAAACATGGCCATGTCCGATCTGTTTCAACCGATTTTCCATGTTCCTCGGCTTTTGGTAGGGTTAAACACGGCCGGCTACTGGCTAATCAGTGGTCCCCTTGGACAACCATTGTGTAAGCTGAGTGCCTTCGTTACAGATGTCTCCGTTCAGAGAACCAAAGTCGATAAGAGAACTTGTGAACTTTCACTCCCAACTACAATAATAATCGAGTGTGTTTAGCTGTTCGGGTATGGTTCGTAAATAGTTTGCCAAAGTTGTACTATGTAGAATTGATACTGCCTTTTTAGGGGACCACCGCAAAAATAAAATAAATAAACAAATGAATAGATGTAGAATAACGCATTTGGAGAGTCCTTTTCGCCTGGAGGTTACCCTCTGGGCGTTGGAAAAGACGTCAAATTTTTTCAACCACTAACTGAGTGGGAAGCTTGAAAAGGAAGGGGGCGTCAATCATTTATACGATGTGATCACGTTCGAGTATGCCGACTGTTTTCGTACCAAGCTAAACTTAAAGCTTTTTCTGGCTTTGTCCCATCGAGTTGTCACGCCTGTTAATTATGTTCCTCTGGTGAAGAATGAAAGGAAACCTTTTGTCGTGTATATAAAATTAAAAATTGGCCTTACATTGTGCTAGGCTTTTCTATTTTAGGAGAAGCTCTTGAAAATCCATAAAATTTTCTAAAAAACATCCAACCCGTCTACTGAGTAACGAGGCTACTTTGTAAGTTCCTGGCTGGATTAAACTTTCGATGGCAACGTAATTGAAAAATCAATTGCTTGAAATGCATCTGCAGGATAGAATATGTAGATCTTTTGGCTTGCTTTAATACGTGATCATTCGTACCAGCTGTCAACTGTTATCCAACATCAGTAAACATCTGTAGCTGGGCTATTTCTGGAGTTGTTTTCTTACCATTTCGTTAAAAGTACTAATAAAAATCATATAATAGTTACAACGAGAATAGCTTAGAAGTTTCGAAAATTGTCATTTTTCCGATCATACCCTTAATTTAAAAAAAAAATCGATTATATGAATTTGAAGGAAAACTATTCACTGTTTAGTGAAAATAAGCTCTTCCTTTATAATTTCTGACTTGGTCAAACTGCTCTAGAAACTCTTTGCATTTATTTTATTTCATCCAAGTGTTAGTGTCAAGTTTTCAGTAATATCCTCAGTTGCTTTAAGGGAAGCCTTGTTTTATTGAATCCGAGGTTTCTAACCTAGCTTTCGATGAAAGTCAGTGGAAGCGAAGTTCGAGGTTTTCAGCCTCTTTTTCGTTTCTCTATAATCAGCTGTACATGCAAAATAACTTTAAATGTTATTGAGATAAACTGGGATATCTTTGAAACTCATTAAACTCAGTCGTTTGGCGAAATTCGCGAATGATATCAGTTGGAGACATTAACTTACATTCTATACATAGAGAAACTTCGTCGAACGGTTCTAACCGTTGTTTGAACTCTGGTTTCATGATTTGCGTTTCTATTGTGAATATCATACGGTTTTAACACATTAGACTCTACCGGGTAGATAGCTAATTTTCTGATCAATATAAGAAATAAATAGTATCAAGAAGCCTTCAACCTTTTGAGTTTGGGATCACGATTAGCCTTTTCTATGGAAATTGGAAAATTTGAAACTGAAAAAAAATAAATCAATAAATAAAATAAAAGATAATCTAGAGGAGAGAAAATCACCCTCCTTTATCAAGCCTTACGAAAAGAAGTTTGTTTACATAACCTTTGGCCACATTTCTTTGTATTGTGAATAAATATCACAGAGTCGATCAAGAAATCAACTAAATTTCAACGAAATTTACGAAAGCGACCCTCACAGTAATGAACGATAATTGATGCGCAGGTTGCTAGCCGAGTGTCGTTAACATTTCCAATAATTTCGTTGCAATTTTCAATTATTCATGGTTTTATCTTTATGCATGAATTATACATTCTATGAGGGCTGCTTGAGGAAAAATGGAAATGCGCAAAGATCAACAGAAATATGGCAAATAGTAAAGTGGCACTCAAGCGCTGGGTCCGAAGCCAATCGCTAGACTCTTTTTCTTTCATTTCCCGACAGAACCATTGTATAAATAGAGTGTTTTCCTTAAGTTATCCTGGGTATTCTTTTGGTGTGTTTTGAAACTCTTGTCGTTCTTATAAAACGTTGCGCGTGTCGAATTTGTTTTTACAGGACACGGTAGCGCTTCTACTTTTTAGGCATGGTCCTTTCTTTACGCCTAGTGATGACACGAATGAAAATTCCTGTATTGAAATTAGAGGTATTCGTCTCTTTGTAATGCCTTTGCATCGGCGTCAAGCGTCAATTTTCCCGTTAAATCTCTCGCTTCTGTACACTTTTGTGGCAAGAATGAAATTTCTGAGTCTGATATTTCAGCCGTAAATTTCACTGTATCGTCGGTGGCGAGTAGCTGTTTTCCCGTCTTACGAATTATCCCATTTTGTGTCTGGAAGCGTCACACAGACCCCATGTACAGCAGCAAAACAGACATCAAACACCAAATGGAACTTAACGAGATCCTCGCGAATGGTTTTCTTTCCTTACTCTTGGTTTCCCCATAAGAGAACTTGTGAACCCAACGACAATAAGAATCGAGTGTGTTCGACTGTTCGGGGATGGTTTGTAGATAGTTTACCAAAGATATTCTATGTAGAATTGATACTACCTTTTTAGGCGACCACCGCAAAAATAAAGTAAATGAATAAATAAATAAACAAATAAATAGATAAAAAAGTTGTATGCCCACGGACAATTCTACGCAAAATTTGTCTTGTATATATCAACATATCGACTAATAAACTCGACTTCAGACGGAATTATATGATGACCGCTTAACACAGGTTCCATAGACAAGGGGTATTGCAAAAAAAGGGTTAAATTTTCATTTTATGCCATAGTTGACCAGTTAATGTACAAAAACTTACTACTAGCATTGATTTTAGGAGATAAACGTGGATTAAATTTTATAGAAAAATTTTTATTTCTATCATTCGAGAAATCTGCTTTGACTGACCGTTCAATACAGGTAAAAGCAAAATACAACCGCTGGGACTCAAGGAGGAATTACAGTTAGTAATGAAAAAAAATTAGGGACTTTGAAAACCGATGATACAGGTTCGACTGTATCAACTTCTGCTTTTCAAAGGCTCTTCTTTAGGGTTAAAGTGCACCTAAACTCAAAATTTGTTCTTCGCTTAAGGAAATAAGCTTAATTTTTGGAGTATTTCTCTGCAAAAATTTTTTAATTTGCTCAAATCTTTAATTTTCTTTGCATTTCAAGTTTGCATTTCACACATTTTCACTTGTTTGGGAAGGTTGTCGTCAATATTGTCCGAAATATGCCGACTAGGTGTGTTGTGTGAGGTGTGTTGTGTGAGATGTGTTATGTGAGGTGTGTTGTGTGAGGTGTGTTGTAGGTGTGTTGTATGAAGCGCGATACCCTCTTGCAAATTTCGCACGTTGCTACATCCTTCTCCAACACACTTAGTCGGCATATTTTCGGGCAACATACATACATACATACATACATACATACATACATACATACTTTATTTGTCATGTAGGTCAGTACAAGAAGGCAGCTAAAAAGCTGATGTGGACCTACATCGACTACAACCTTCCCAGACAAGTGAAAATGTGTGAAATGCAGACTTTCGTGTTCTCGATTTGACGTCACATTACCCGCTAGAGCCATTCCTCTTTAAACTCGGTCGTGGGGCAAGATGGCGGCCGATTTTCCGTATTTTGACTGGGCACAGAAAATTGAAGATTTGAGCAAATAAAAAAATATTTGCACAGAAATACTCAAAAAAATTTGGTTATTTCGTTAAGCGAAAAAAAAGTTTTTGGGTTTAGGTGCACTTTAAAGGAAGGAGATTAGCTATTATAATTAACATTAACATTAGTATATAATTGCAGATATAGGAGTTGTATTAATTATACAACTTTGTTTGCATAACACGATACAGCGGACGGCCCATTTGTAGAAACAAGGAGTATGAAAGAGGGTCAAGAAGATAATAGAATTGAAAAATTCTTTGTTTTGTTATTTTTGAACGTTAATAGGAGGACAAGATGTGATCGCGTGCCAGTCAGCCATCTGTCCTTCCCCCTCAGACACAGTGGAACCTTTATCTGAATTTGTTCCATCGACCTCAGCAGCTATGTAATTCTTTTCAGTGTGGAACATGTTCTCTCAGTAAGGAAAATAAACTTACCACTAAACACGAAATAAGAAATCAACTTTTTTATTTCCCTGCAACCACACGATGAGCCCTTTCCTTTTGACACAGTTTCCTGAAATTCTTAAGATTTTCTGTAAATATCCAACCCGTATCCCGAACAAACACAAAGACGCAAATTCTGAAAAGGGACTTTCAATGAAAATATCGTTGGTGTACAAGATAATGTAAAAATTTTTTTCCTTGTGTTAATGTTGCGGTGCCCAATTGATTACTACTTCAATTCTGACTGAGTGGGAAGCTTGAAAAGTAAGGAGAAGTCAATCAATTACACGATGTGGTCAGTGAGCCTACTCTTTTCGTTCCTCAGAAAAACGAGAAGCTTTTTCTGGCTTTGTCCCATCGACTTAACAAGCCTGTTAATTGTGTTCAGTGCAAAATAATTTACCCGGGTGAAGAAGAAAGGCAAACCATTTGCCATGTATATAAAATTAATAGTCGGCCTATTTTTGTCCTAAGCTCTTCTATTTCATGAGAAGTTCTTGGAAATCCTTGTAACGTCAAATCCATCTACTGAGTAACGAGGCTAGTGAGGAAGTTCCATGCTGGATTAAGCTTACGATGGCAGCATGATTGAAAATTAATTGACGACGAATTGAAATGCATCCGCAGGACAGAATATTGTATCTGTACCAGCAGCTGTCAACCGTTATTCAACATCAATAAACATCTGTAGCTGAGCTATTTCTAGAGTCGTCGAAATATGTCGGCAAATTTGACCGCAACGATGTATGGAACACAATCCATGTCGAGGTGCTTCGACCCCACAGCGGAAAGAATTAGTTACACCTTTGCTTACTGTCTGCTATCTGTTGTGTCACTTGCTGGAAATAGCTTTATTGGAATCATTGTGTATAGGGCCAACACTGTGAGAACACCAATCAACATTTTGATTGTAAACATGGCTATTTCCGATCTGTTGTATCCGATTTTATTCTTTACTAAGAGGTTGACCGAGATAAACAAGGCCGACCACTGGTTGATCAATGGTCGTCTTGGGCAAGCATTGTGTAAGTTGAGTATCTTCGCAACAGATGTCTCAACCCTGGTGTCCATTCAGAGCCTGGTTCTGATAGCGGTGGATCGATTTGTAGCTGTGGTATTTCCCCTCCGCTCCCCACTGATCAGCTCAAAGCAGTACCGGTTCTTCATTCTCGTCATTTGGATCGTCGCCATGGCAGTCTATTGCCCCTACTTGCTCGCCTTGAAAGCTATCGAGTATTTAGAGGGGCTGAAGTGCGTCCTTGATTGGAATGACGCATTTGGAGAGTCCTTTTCGCCGAGAGGCTACTTTCTAGGATTGGCCATCGTTTTCATCTATGTCCCTTTGGTTCTCATCGCCATACTTTACTTTGCCATCGCCTTAAGAATTAAATCCCAGAAGATTCCAGGCGAGCCATCAGCAAATGCAAGGAAACAGCGTTTGAAGAGAGAGAGAAATGTTCTGAAGATGTCCGTTGCCGTCGTGTTAGTTTTTGTTGTATGCTGGTTGCCATTCTCCATCAGGGGCGTCATCCACTACTTTTCATCAGATAGCGCCCTGATATCGTCTTGCGGTTTCCAATACTATCGTACTATTACCGATTTTCTTGCTCACTCATACTGTGCTGTAAACCCTTGTATCTGTTTTATTTTCAATGGTAATTATCGTAAAGAGCTTAAGAGTTTCCTTACTTGTTTTTCTACGAATGAGGCCGCTTAGTTATCGTTCTCGCCCCAGCCCTCCGCATGGTGTTCGAGTGGCTTATTCAGATATCCTCAGCAGCTTTTAGGGGAGCCTTGCTTTATTGCATCAGAAATTTTTAACCTAGCTTCGATAACAGTAAATGGAAGCGAAGTTTGAAAGTTCTTCCTTTTTAAGGTTTATCTGTTATCAGCTGGACATGCAAAATAACTTAAGATATTCTTGAGATAAACTGGAATATCTTTAAAACACATAAAACTGAAGTCAGTTGTTTCGCGAAATTCGGGAATAATATGAATTGGAAATATTTACCTATACATCCTGTCTGTAGTTTATCTTATACCAAGAGAAATTTTTTTCGAACGGTTCTGACCCTTCTAACCGTTCTAACGGTCCTATTGTGAATATCACACGGTTTTTAAAGTTTTAGACTTTACTTTTAAATAGAGAATTTTCTGACTAATATGAAAAATAAATAGCGTCAAGAAAGCTACATGGGCTGGTTTGGAGTTTGGGATTAAGATTAGTCTTTGCTATGGAAACTGGTCAAATTTAAAGTACCACTGCGACGAAATTTTTGCATTTCATTTTCCCAATTTTCTGGTGTTAACTTCACATTTAGACCCTAAACTATTAGAATAAGCGTAAGTTTCTCAAATTTGACAACGTTATTCCTTAAAAACAGCGCCGCGAAGACATTAAAAATTCTTCCGCCATTGCTCGAATAACACACTGGAGAGCCCGCGAAAATAACTCTAGCGGTTTTAGTTGTCACGTCATCGACTCACTTCGACAACGTCGCGAAGGCATGCCTTTACAAGAAATACGCAAAAGAAGGCTGGAGAAAAATTCTTTCGAATTTTATTCCTTCTTTCCTGCGGAACAGAAAAGGAACTCTCTCTCGGCATACCAAATTAGCCACGTTTGTTAAGTCGTTGACGTCACTTCCGTTCTCGACCCAGTTTCTTCTTCTTCGCGCGGAGTTCTGTAGCTCGAAGAATGGCGGCCGCTTAGATCGCGAATCTACAGGGAAAATAATATTCTGGATGGAGTTTTGCCTTAGGATTTGGCAAATCTGTTACTTAGGGTAAGTACTTTCAACCTCTGAGGAGAAAAGGAAAGGTGCATTTTTGGTCGCAGTAGCACTTTAAATAATGAATAAATAGATAAACAAATAAAATGAGAGATAATCTAGAGGAGAGAAAATCACCTCTCTTTATGAAGTCTCTTGAAGCCTTATGAAAGGAGTTTTGTTTACAAAACATTCGGTCACATTTCTTTGTTTGTGCATAAGTGTCACAGAGCGCATCAAGAAATCAACTAAATTTCAACGAGTTCTTACTAGTGAGACGACCAAAATAATGGAAGCTATTTGGCGGCGATATTCTTCTAGGAGTGACAAACCCTAGCAATCGACACATGTCAGATTATAAAGCAACCTATGTGAAGAAACCAATTTCAAAGCGTGTTTGACAAAACAGCTTTACAACTTAAAATTGTTTTAGCTTCGTTTTGTTATCTTTACACAACGCCTTCAGGCGGACATTTAAGACTATAGAACTTAAGGAAACGTCACGAAATTGGAAAAAAAAAAGAGATTCATTTGAGACACACAGGTGCATCCATTGTTGACGGATCCTGCCATAACTACCATTTAATTAACAAGGAGTGACACCTTAATTAACAATTTTCCCTCCTTGTTCAAAATAATTCGTGAGCAAACCACGCGCCATTTCATTATAGGAACACCGCAAATTACTCAATGCTAGTCTTCAGTTTAGAAAAGGACACAAAAGGAGTTTTAAAACATCTCTAGATCACATTGTTTGATGACACTGGAGCCAATAGACAATTGTTTCTATTCTTAAGCGACAGATAGGCGCCGAAAAAAATTTTTATGTTATAATTGATGCGTAGGTTACCGGCTGAGTGTCAACGACACATAATTTCGTCGCAGTTTTTAATTATAGATGGTTCTATTCTTTATGCATGAATAATACATTCAATGAGGGTTGCATGAGCAAAAATGGGAATCTGCAAAGATCAAACTGAAGTATGGCGAATAACGTGGCATTAAAGCGCTGAGTCCCAAGCCAATCTCTAAACTCTTTTCCTTTCGATTCTCGATCAGGGAAATTAGAAGCCTCATAACCATTGTATAAATAGAGTGTTTGTTTTAAGTTACCCTGGGTATTCTTTCGGCGTACATTGAAACACTTGTCGTTCGTATTAAACGTAGATGAATAAAGGCTGAAAGTTTCTAAAGAAACTGTGGTGCTGCGTCGGTGGGTGTAA